CGGCAACCACCCGACTTCCATCATCCGTTACTCCCGATAAACGTATGCATCGCGCTACGTTGTAAAAGCAATCGTGAACGTCTCCCGGCCAAGAAATACTACCCTCTTCCCCCCCCCCCCCNCCCCCCCCCCCCCCTCTCTTCCTCTTTCTCTCTCGAGCGGTACCGAGAGCTCAGGCAGCACCAAGTCGCGAGCGGGAGACCTCGATCATCGTTCTCGAACCGTTCTCGCTGATACACGACCTTCTCGAGCGACGGAGAACACGATGACCCACTCGGACGAGGGCGAAAGCCGAAAGCAGAGGCGATCCACGCGAACAACCCCTTTCTTACCCCGAGCTTCCATTCTCCCCCCTTCGTCCCTTCCCTTTGGAAGCGCTCGTTGTTGCTTAAGTACCTACCGTTGCGGACGTTTAAGTCGGCCGGCTCTATATACACGCGCCGGGAACGCACCTGAATAATGTTCGAAGACGACGGAGCTTGACGTTTGTCGTGGCGGTGCCTAGCGTGCCTAGCGGTTAACCCTCTCCCCTCCCTGTCCTCCACCCTGAAACGGGCTGGTGTTCGTCTCACCCCCTTGTGTCCCCTTTGTGCCGTTGCCTCCTGTTGCCTGAGCTCCCCCTCCCTTCCTTACCCCGAGCCAACGAGACTCATAATTGTCCGGAGAAGGCATATCGCGGCCAGGACAAGGACGGAGGAGGGCGGAGGGTGGAGAACACCGGAGACACGAAAGTAGTTATGCGCATTCCTGCTCGGCGGTAAGTCACCGAAGAGAGGAGAAAGGCAGAGTCGGTGGAAAGAAACGAAATGACGAAGGGACGAAGGGGGTGTGCCAAGGGGGCAGGTTAGCGAAGAGAGAGGGTTAGATGCTCATCGTCCCCTTCCCTCCTCCCGTGCCTCACGGCTGAATACTTGAATATTGATTAAGCATGCACATCGCGATTACCGGGAGCAGGTAAAAGCGCTCTTGCCGGGTCCGCGGTCTGCGTGTCTGCGGATATTTATGTGAAGCGGTGCTTCGACGACGGTGCCGCTCCGCAACCCCCGCGGATTCTCCTCCCTCACCGCCCCGTACCGCGCGCCTCGTCAACTAGTCAGACCTCCGTCGTCTCCGAGGGATGAAAAAAGACCTGCCGGAAGAGACCCGGGATATCCACGGGGTGTTTCAAACCGGACGCGTCTCGGAGTCTGTGTTGTTTGATTTACGATCGGATCCTTGTAGGATTGTATTCTTCGATCATGAGCCGGCCCGCTTCTCCGTTTGCCGCCGCCGGTGAGCAACGATTCGCGGACTAGCGGGGAAAAATGGTAATTGAATCGGCAAGGTAAAATGAAGGTGACAATATCGGAAGATCCCATGAAATTTGGACGATCGCTACACTTGTTCACTACTACTTGACCACGATGATTTCTTAAATTTCTCTCCTCGCTGTTTCTAGCGCCACAACAGGTTGTTTTGAATATCCACCATGAATGTAATGATCGAAATATAGAGAATATTAATGGCTGCAGGTAGCATTGAAATTAAATCTGTAAAATTAAAGGTTCGAGAGAAGGAAGTTAACGCTAAAAACCAAAATGGAAATTGAATACATCGTCATAGTTAGAGTAGGAGTTATGTTGTTAGAAACATCAATGTTGAACCATAAGGAATTAATGCACAAATTTAATAGTGCAGCGAAAAAGCTATTTAATTAACCAGTAATTAATCAGTAAACTGTGCAAACTTTATTTAATATTCTAGACTGGAATATTCTTAATTAGAATATGAAATAAAATTTATATAATTCATTAACTAATTATTGTTTTTTTCCATATTATACTATTAAATCCGTGCACACATTCTTATGATCAAATATTGATCATTTTTAGTTTCTTCTTTTTTAAAAGTTTCCTATTAGTTTAAATTATATATTATTAGAATTAAATCTGCTTTGCTCGATTTTAGCTTCTCTCTGTGTTGCAGAATTTAATGTTTAGTTAAACATAAGGCCAACATTTCGGTTTTCGAGCTTTCGTTGTAAGGATGATGTTTCGCCGTCGACGACGATGTTTTACTGACGGTTGTCGTATAATGTGATAGAGTGATAGAGTGCGTGAGAGTGAGAGAAAGAGAGGGGGATGAAAGGAAGCATTGCGATTAAGTGGGCAAACGATACTTCCGTTTGAGTTAGTCGAGAGTAAGATCCTCGGTAGTTAAGTGACTCCGACGGAGGCAGAGGTATTTGTCGTTGTTGGTAACGTGCGGCTGTCGAAAGCGACACAAGTCATGATTGTGAATTGTTCATTCTGAATGGGAGATAATTGCGAAATCGCGATAATGACGAAAAATACAAATTTCACCGGCGTGGAATTCGGCAGGGCACGCCGCTTTGTCCCACCTGCGAATGCGTTCCCGCCCCGACTCGTTACGTCGCACATTGTACAAATCGCGCGGATAATTAGCTCGCTGCTCCACATTTTTCCGCTATTACGCAAGATATCGTTATGAAAAATTCATCGGTAACGTGCCGCCCTTTGTGCCGAAAATATCCTTATTGCGAATTACATCACATCGAGCATCACAACCGGTAAATATTAAGGGTAACGGTATAATTACATTAATATCTAGACTGGAATATTCGTAACTCCCTGTGTGACGATGTAACGGTTATCAACATGTAAACATTATATAATACATGTTTCGCGCTTATATTGTTGGGTGGAGAATTACAACATTAATAAATAACTTATATTTATATTTGCTCCGTCAGTGTGTGTGTGTGTGTGTATGAGACTAATGAAAGAGAAAAGTAGAACGGGTTTTTTCAAAGCTTAATCGCGGCTATTGCAGCAACACGTTATTTTTAATTTTGTAAGAAGACGTAATAATATTGAGGAGGTTACAAATAATAATCTTACCGTTTATCTGGTGTTTATTTGACATATCCAATTCTATCGCACTTATTTCCCACACGAACAGTCACGAACTTGACATCTAGATCTTTGGGGTTTGTTAAGCGTTTCTCGCATGATTTTAAAGGTCTATTTAAGTTTACTTATACAACTTTGCTTTCACCTGCAACATGCAAGTGTCATTTGGTCGCTTTCACCATCTGGTCGACCAAGCTAAGCAGATTAATTAAATCGAATCGGTGCAACGCAATTTTCATACTTACACCATACTTGCCTTTTCCTCAGTGAAAGACGTTCCTCGATCCATGTTGCGAAAAGAAGGAACGCACACGCGCACAGGCGCGCGCGTCAATGCGTGGTGTTGTTGCGTTACAACAAGATACTACGGCCGTTGGACGAATAAAGCAGAAAATCGAGATTATTCGGTGCATTTTGCAATTTTCTTGGGTAAGTCGCGCGGGGTTGTAATTCACGAGCCGATACTACCGAGCTAATTAACCCCGGCCGAACGCGCCTCGCTGTCTAATTAAGCCGGCTCTCGCGCAACAAAGCGTACGTGTGGTCGCAATCGGCCGGGCTTTGCACACCGGCTTCCGGTGCTTCCGCGTTGTTGACCACGATCGTCCTCCACTCGAAGCGGCGGAAGCCGCGGGAAAAAAGGGGCCGGAGGACACGCGGGGGGCATGTCGGCGAGATGCCGGGAGAAAAAAGCCCTCGAGCTTTGAATATTCAGTAGGTACGTTCTGGTCGCGCGAGCGCGGCTTCTCCGTCCGACCTTATTTTCCCACGATGAGAAAACCGCCGAGCACTTCCGTCGTTACTTAGACAGAAAGATAGAGAAAGAGAGATAGAGAGAGGGACGAAGGGGCGGAAAGAGCCAGCGACTTTTCTCGTCTTTCTCGCCACGGAGGAGAGACACGTCGCCGGAAATTTGCAGCCGATGCTACGAGCGACGGAGGGATTCGAATTAGCCGAATTAGCCGGCAGTGTCTCCGCGGCTCGCTGATAAACCGTCGATCTCAACGGACCGGGTTCCGACAGGGGTGAAAATGCAACGGGGGTGAACGCGTGTATCGATCCTCCCTGGGTCGGTAGGACAGGTCTGTACCATCTACCCGCGAGGTCTTCGTTTTATCCGATAAACCAGCGGTGGTTGGTAAAATATAAGGTGTTCCAGGATAACGAGAACCGTCTGACGTCTGAACGCAGCGGTCGGTAATAGCCGGGCTCCGAACGAGGTCGATTCCGGCCGTTTTGCGTTTTTCAGACCGAAAATTTACGGAGTGTCGCGGGGAGAAAACAGTGTCGTCAGCGTGCCCGTGAGTTTTCTGTTGGCCGAGGACCAGGCGAAAATTCGGGAGCAGAAAGATTCTTGTGTTTACGGCAAAAGAATTAGTATCAACTCAAGAATATATTCATATATAAGTAAGAATATATAATCTTATTATGAAGATGCATAAAACTATGTGAAATGTGCTCTTGCACGAAGAAATACTGTACAGTTCCGTTGAAAGTATATTCATGTTATTCGAGAATAATTTTCACGAATTGAGAGGAAAAAATATTGGACAGAAGGAACAATATCTTCAAACTGAGAATTAAGTATCTGTTTTAAGATGCCGTTCTCTCTATTCGATATTATCCCCTCTCAGTTGATAAAAATTATTAGGGAGAATTATTTTCCAATAACAAGGATATGATATTTTTAGCAGAACTGTATAGAAATTCTTCATGTATTAGTACAAGTTTCATCTTTATATAAGATTATAGATGCTTACTTTTGCATGAAAATATCGTAATAATAATAATCGTATTTTTAAGAATGAATCCGCCATTATCCGTGTAAACGGCGGCAGACAAATGTCCGTCAATCCTCCATCAAAATATTTTTCATAGTAAGGATAATGCGAATATAGTTTAATGCGTAATTTCGAATAAAGAAAGATAAGTCGTCGCGCAAATTCGCTCGCGCTTACCTGTAAATGCTGCGGTATAATGATATAAAGAGCAGGGGACGCGAATTTTTGGAGTGTTACGGCCGTTAAATAAAAGATTTCGCGACAGCCGGCTTAAATTAGATTAAGACAGATCATGCATAGCACTTACATGGATAGTGGCAGTCATGCTCGTCGCTGCCGTCTTGACAGTCCACGATGAAGTTGCATCGTTGCTGCTCCAATATGCATCTGTTAACGTCGCACGGGAACTCGCCGGCGCCGCAGCCTGCGGAAAGTTAATGTTACAGTATCGGTAATCTCGACGCACCGCATGTGTGTTTACGTTATTACCGCAATACGCTTTGCGAAGTTGCGAAATATGGTTGCGTACACGTCGCGAATGGTAGAGATGTGGCAGCATGCGGATATATACGCGCGATCAACACCGGCGGTTTCGGTGTGTCGTTGACGTAAGAAGCGTTAGGGTCTCATTCCTCGTTAACACGTGTTACATGCGCCGATATAACCACGAACTACGATCGCATATTTACATTTATACAGGACACGTGAAACGTCTAATTAGAACTTTTAAACGTGCCTTCAACAGCTATATATACATGCGACATTGTCGCTTATGTAAAAAAATTCGGATCTCGTGCAAAAAAGAAGCGTAATAAGGAAGCATGAGATATGTATATAGAATGTTAGGAAATATATATATATTTTTTTCTTTTTTTAACATACACGCATGTTTCACCAAAAGGACGGCATCCGTCATTTCGACGGATACAATGCCTCGTTCATTCTATTCGCGGCTCTTCCACGCTCTGTCAAAACCTTTCGGCATTTACATTACGATAAATTAGACTCGAAAGTTACTCTTACGATAAATTAAACTAGAAAGTTACTCTTTAAATTTCAGGAAATTTGAAAACTACGCCGGTCCTTCGGTGCCGTCGACTTCTCGTCGAGCATTGAGCCCGGAATCCTCGACGAGGATCCGTCCGGCTCGAACTGTACCTGGGTGCGGGCAGTTGACCTCGTCGCCGCCGTCATCGCAATTCGGAATACCGTCGCACTCCTGTACCGAGCAGATATAACGGCTGCCGTCGGTGCAGCGCACCGTGTCGTCGGCGCGACACTTGTCGGAAGACGGCCTCAGTGTCGACTCCTCCTCGTGTTCTTCCTCCTCCTCCTCCTCCTCCTTGTCGTAGTCCGGGGTCTCCGTCGGCAGGTCCGAGGTCGTATCTACGTGTCGCGTGTATCAACATCGGTGTTCGGAGTGATAAGCCGCGTTAGCGAGGAGGTGCGAATTAGCCGCGCGGACGAGTCGTGACGAGAGTCATGGCGGCTGCTCTCTCGATCGGTGATGCCAATTCCGCATGTGCGATGCCCCGCAACGGACGAGAGAGAGAGAGAGAGAGATACAGCGGAGCTATCGTGCCATTAAATGGACGGTAACGAAGCGGAAAATATGTACAATGCTGTTCGACACCTGCTGGATCTCCACGAGGAGATATTCTAAAGCCTGGTCTACAATGTGCTCTTTGCGTCTTGTTTCTTGCTCTCTATCTCCTTTTCACAGGTAAATAGAAGTTCTTGCGGAAAAAAGAAATAAGACGCGAAAGGGTTGGTTGAAGCAGTTTTTTTTTTACAGCGTACGAAGAATGCCACGGCGTACCGTGTATCTGTACACTCAGGTCGCATCATGAATAACCTGAATAGCCGGAAGAAAAGATCGAGAAAAGTGCAAAAATTCCGCACACGGAGAGAACATCATAGCTTCCTTCATACAAATTCTTCCTAATTTTATCAGACTTTCCAGTGGTACGGAAATGGACTGTCGGTGATATCTTGCTGCATTAAATATTCTAATAGCAGATCTCAGTTCTTAAAATATAATTATAGCATATATGAAACGGAGGGATGACAAATTACGGCAGAATTTTGGTATGTTCCTCAGTTACACAATTCTGCAGCAGCACAGGCTTTGTAGGTGATTAACCAAGAAGAGATACGACGGGCCTACTAAGAACCTAATACACTTGCTGTAGCAATGTATTGTTTTAATTTTGTGGGAGGATACCGTTTTCGCAGTCCGGCAAATGGAATCAATATACGCTACTTTGTTTCAATACGTGGGAAAAGGGTTAAGGAGAATTAAATTAAGGAGAAAATAAAGGCCCTTCTTTCGACTATGAAATTCTCTCCGTGCACAGACAAGCGTCGTGAAGGAGGGTTCAGCTCGGCCTCAACGTCGCGCGAGATGTCATCGTTGCGGGGCAGATGATAACGCGATGATCCGTGTCGCGGAGCCGGTGTACTTACCGTCGCCTGTGATCTGATCCTTCGGGCAGTTGTCCTCGTCCGAACCGTCGTCACATTGCGGCACGCCGTCGCAGCGCGATTCTAACGGCACGCATGCACCGCTCTTGCACATCAATTCGGCCGATTGGTCGCATTCTGGCTGCGTGTCTTTTTCACCGGCTGCATCGTATCGTCGTGTTTGTGTGTCGTGTGTACGTTGTTTCGGGAATGGACCGCGCAAAGCGGATCGTGCGACGCCGAGCGGTGTTCGAGGAAGGTGCAAAACAAAAGGGAACGCAAATTAATGAAGGAACGTACTGAGAAATAATCGGGGGGAAGAAACTAAAAATGTGCGGAGAAAACGAGACATGAGCTAACGATCAAAGTCGAAATTTTGGCGATATAAATCCTCATAAATATTCATGTAAGAACCTTTGATATACCACGTAGCAATGCGTTTGAAAGAAAAAAAAAATATACTATACTCAAATAAATATTTGCTAGTGTTGGAATAATTTTTTCATTTGAATTAAATAAATGTTACTCGAACGTAGGCACTTTTTTTGCGCGCTGCATTCAAATAATATTGATTTAATTCAAGTAAAATAATTATTCCAACACTCTCTGGCAAATATCTACTCGAACGTAGGCACTTTCTTTCTTTCAGAATCCAGCAAGATAGATTTAATTTAAATTCTCATAATATAACTTACTCCTATCTTGTATTTGATGATGTCTTACGTGTTCGTTTTCTCTATTTCGGCGTCAAAATAAATTGTTCACGTGGCGTTAACATAAAAATCTGTAGAACTAAAGGTTGCAGAATTTAACAGGTGTCACAGGATCAGCAAAATAAATCGTTATTACCCGCGTAAAAAATAAAACGTCGGTCGAACTGGACACCGTGGGAGATCGGGAATAATCTCGCGCGATCGCGCGGTCAAAACTCGAGACGGCTGCATTGCACGTGCACACCTACTGCTCATTCTAATATTCCGACGAGCTCTTATAAATCACATGCCTCCGGCGGAATGATCGATTTAACCCCCCTGACGCTAAATACATCATCTCTCCGGCGCGATTGTTGCGCGCGCGGGCGACGTCGTTAATCAATTTTGACAGTTGAGAGAACTCGACTCGACCCGATATTTCAGCGAGTCTTCATACTTTTCGCGAATGCGAACTTTTCCGCATCGCCGGAAAATCGCCAGCGAATTACGAAGTTTAGCTTCGAAGCCTCCAACGTGAAATCGATCATTCCCCGGTCGTTAGGCGGCCGCCGCCGCTGTCGGGGATACCTTGGAATATCCTGAAGGTGAATCCTTCGGGATTCACTTGGATGCTGCCCAAGGAATGGTATTGCAGCTGTTGTTCGAGGACGTCGCGCACACGGTGCTCGTCCGTGAACGTCGAGCCGATGTCGAGGGTGACCTGGGACGTGAAAGCGTCGGACGTTGGTCTGCAAGTGAAAACGTCGTGATCGACGGAGGAGCGGTCGGCGATTACGCGGCGGCGATCGCACTTACGATATCTTGACGACGTTCGCGAAGTAATTGTAATTCGGAATATGATGATTGTACAAGTTCTCAATAGCCTTCGTGAGATTGCTGCTCAGCTCTCGGTACACGGGGCTGTTCCTGTCGGAATACTCCCGCCTGTAGGGCTCGATGACCGTCAGGGTGACGCGATAGAATCCTGTAAGGAAACGGAACCAAATTTCAGACGGCCGGTGACGGTGATGTTAGGGAGGTAATAGTTAATACAAACGCGAAGAAGCTCGGTAAACATACACGGGCAAAATTCACACGTGATTTTATATAATTATATATAATTATATGTAATCATGTATAATTATTTTTTCCCGGGATTGCGCTAATGGAATCTTGCGTACAGTTTTAATCGCGTCGTTCGCGTTGCTTTCCGAAATTTGCCATACTGCCTTGAAATTGTCTCGACATTAAGTGCACTCTAGCAAGACTATAATTTTCCAGCTCATATGCGTATGTTTATATATCTCTAAGGAAAATTGTACTTACTCGCTGGACCGGCGGTATTGCGATAGTCCTCCGTATTGATATGTGATTCTACTTCGATCGCGCTGCCTTCGATGTCGCCCGAGCCGGCCAAGTCTTCGTCGTCGCTGTTCCCGTATGTCACCGGTATCCTCCGGCTTTCCGCGACATCTTCCACTTCGTTATTGTGCTGTAATGACACACGATGTGTAACTAGACGCGGCGAACGAACGAACGTGAGGTGACTTCGGGAAGCTGAAGGGGAAGCTGAAGGGGACGCGTGTTAACGGCGGATCTAACGTGAACGCGATTTTAATGAGAAATATTCGCATCACAGTCGAATTAACGAGGCGATAAGGGCGAGAAGAAGGTCACAAACGGCGCAAACGTCGGCAAGGTTGAAATTTATACCTCGGCCTCTTCGTCGTCGTCATCGTCGTCGTTGTCGATTTTGTCGAGAGTCAATCTCTCGATGACGCCGTTCCGCGCGCTTGATGTTTCTGGTTGAGCGAACGTATGGTTGCCATCTTTAGTGTTGACGAAGACCGAATCGTCAATATCTTGATCTTGATCTATCGTCTCTTCCGGATCTGTCGAGAAAATCGGGCGCTTTAGAGAATACATGCGTTTTTCTCGGCGACTTTACGCTGAAAGAAAACTATGGTTATCTTCAGGGACAACAATATCCTTTTTTCATTTTAACCGCAAAAATAATCAAGAGAAACTATTTTTCTAGTAAGTGTTACTATAGTGTCAGTGTGAATAATCTTACGTGCGTGTTGCTACTATTATTTCCGTGGTTAAAATAAAAAGAAAGGATATCGTTGTCTCCGAAAATAACTACATTCTACTACTCTCAGTGTAGCAGAATAACAGAATTATATATTTCGATAAATTCAAGGAATTTATATGAAATATGTTCGATACATTAAAGGGACATTATTTTTAATGGCAAATCCAAAATCAATACTTTTATAATTAGGCATAACTTTATTTTTTTGTTCGTTCGTTTTAATGACTTGCTATCGAAAAAAATATAGTACCTGGCGGCGCTTGAGTCGTGGTTGTGGTCGTGGTAGTCGTAAACCCAAAGAAGTTATTCCAAAGTCCTCTCTTTAGCCTGTGGAAAAAGGACTGGTCGTGCTGCGTTTCGATCAACGGCGTCTGGACTGCGGGCTGTTTACCATCTGGATCGAAAATCAAGTCATCGTCCTGAAAAAGCAAAGTGAAATTGTATTAGGTTGGTGCATATGAAATGTCGGATTCTTAAGTGATTGTATAAAACTGTATATCTTTCTTCAAAAGCTGTTTATTCAATCAAAGTATGCTCCATTCGCTTCAATACACTTCTCCCAACGAGATTTTAAAGCGTAGATGCCTGTCTTAAAAAAATTTTGGTCTTTAGAATTAATAAACTCTGATATCGAGTTTTTTAGACTGTCTTCATTTTCATGGTGTTTGCCTCTTAAAAACAGCTCTAAATGCTTGAAAAAATGAAAATCGGTCGGCGAGAGATCCGGTGAATATGGTGGATGCTGCAAAACTTCATATTCCAGTTCGTTCAGTTTCGCAATTGTTTTGTGCGATGTGTGCGGCCGAGCGTTGTCATGGAGCAGTAGCGGGCCATGCCGATTCACAAGCGATGGGAGTACAATTTGGTGTCTCAATATCGTTGTATGGTCAACTTTCATCCTGATAGCAAGTTCCCTCGTGGATACGGCTGGATCCGCTTCCACTAGAGCCTTCAGGTCATCATTATTCACAGACGTTTTGGGTCTTCCGCGCGGCTCATTTTGCAGTGAAAAATCGCCAGTCCGAAATTTTTCGAACCAACGCTGCACTTTCCGATTGTTAACCGTATTCTCCCCAAACGCTTGGTTTATGTTGCGTGCAGCTTTTGCAGCACTATTACCAAGTTTGTACTCATATAAGAAAATGACGCGAATGTCGGCAGAATTCATATCGGTAATAAACTCAAAAGAAATAAAAAAGGGAAGACCTTCGAGAAAACCTATTTTGTTGAAATGAGTCTCTGGCAATGGACAATACGAGTATGAATGAGGTTATGCCAAATACAAAAGTATAACGAAAACAGGGAGGAAAACGTCCGCATGTAAAGAGAATGCGACATTTCATACGCACCAACCTAATAGTCTCCGAATTTTCAGGAGAAACAATTATTCTTCTTATAATTACGTCTGTTGATACTCGCGATATATAAGCGCAGTAATTTGCAATAACACATAACTCGCAGCTCGAGGATAATGTGAAAAAGGTCACGTGAGAAAAGGCCGGCTCGAATCAGCAGGCGGCCGTGCGTAATAGATAAAGTATAATTATACACATAATCATTTTACCCCGGGGCGTCTGTAACTCGAAAAGGATTAATTGTTCCGCTTCGGCGTTTCCGCGGTAATCGGTTACAACAGTCCGTCCGATCGTTTTATCGCTGAACTCGTCCGACACCGCGGATCTTTTTACGAGACGTAAAACTCCGGTCTCTTCGTATATATCTTTCGGACGGTCGCTGCATTCGTTACGGTTTTCGCGATGACGGATGCACGTATCGCTGCTACTTCATCGGCCGCTCGAGAGAACCCGCCCCGCCAGATGAGCACACGTGTCGCCGCGGCGGGCGGCACGTACACCCACCCACACACGAGGACTATCAGCCGAGGTGTGTGTATCGCCGAGTATTCTCACGCGTCGCTCATAAAGAACCAATTCTCACCTAAACACACGATATAAATTCAGGATCGTCGCGCCATTCCGCCGGCTCGTCGTGATTCCGCAAGGAACCGCGACCGGCGAACTGGCCAGGATTCGAGCGAGCGCGCGCGCCTCGTGGGTCAATGACGTCGCTCGTGCGGGATGAAAATGGAGAACCAACCGTCGGAGAGACGGCGGAGAGCCGGTACATAAGCCAGAGGAGCCAGCCGGAATAACGTGTCGGTTATGGGCGAATACCTGAGCCGAGTCTGAGAGAGAGCTTACACCGAGCTCGAAATTTTCCTGCTACCTTCACGCTCTTCGGGATAGTTTGCGCCTACTCAGGTAGGTCTGTGGACCAGTTCGACCTATTCTGTAACTTCGTTACGACGATGCCGCCAGCTCAGGATGTCGTTGCGCAGCTTTTCTGCTGTATCAATATTTTTCCGGACGCGCTTGCAACGATGTCAGCGCGCTGACGAGTCAACTCGTTTGTAGTTCCGAGTAGGTATTTCGTTATGAAAACATGTGATTGTCGATTTCTATCCAACGGAGCATCGTTGTTATCGTTGTTTTACAGTACAAGCGATACTGAGAATGCCCGTGTCTCTTGTCAGCGCGCTAACATCGTTGTAATCGCGTTCTGAATGACGGTATCTGCGCAACGACGGAAATTTCAGGAGTCATCAAGGTCGAAGTAGATATAGACGATTATATTATTAGAATTGAAACTGTTTCGCTATCTTGCCTTCTTATTGTCTCGTAGGATTAAAGGTCTGACACAGGGCGAAAATTTCGATACTCGGATACCCGTACGGCTGTGCAAGCGCGTGCCTGCGTAGTTACAGCGTAAGTGTGAATAATACAATGTGGAACTGAGCGCGAGGTCGTGCGTGCGCGCATACGTGAGTGCGTGTGGCGCCTCTCGCGCGAAATTAAAGGCGTACGCACGACTCAATGGCGACAACAACGGTCGACTAAGCGCGGCTGCACCGCGAGTGGATTCTTTCACGCGCTGCGTTTCTTTCGAATCTCGAGAAAACCGTCCATCTGCCAGAGTAACATCAAAATTGCGATTGAGCAGGAATAAATATGAAAAGAAGACGTATACATACACACACACACACATATGCATGCGCCGCCGTCTCAATTCTATTTAATCGTATTATTTTCACGCGAGCCGGTTTCGCGTGTCTCGTTCGCATCGCGCAAAATGCAGCGCGCTGCAGCACGTGACCGGAAATATGTGTCGGCTTGTCTTTTTCTCTTCCCTCCCCCCGTCCCTCTCTCTCTCTCTCTCTCTCTGCACGAGGCGGGAATGCTCGTGCAACGGGTAATGAAGCTTAAATCGCGCCAGACGAGACGTATTATTACGGTGGCGTATTTACACGCGACGGCGCGTATTTACACGGGGCCGTCGTTTAAGGATTCGCGTGCAAGCGCGGCGGCATCCGACACCCGCCGCCGGCTGGCGATGCACGCACCCACCTTCGCGCGTGCATCGCCTACCGCGCTGCGCTCTCTCGCAGCCGTCGTCGAAACGATACACAGACGCACACGCCTTGCGTAACTTTGAGCTCGCGTTTTAACGAGGGTAACGACACCGCGCGCGTTCATTAATCCGCCTTCGGGACAAACCGAACCGAGAGCGGCCGAGGGAGCGCATCCATCCGCGTGCCTTTTCTTCTCACGAAGCTCTGTGCCGGCGTTGACGACGACCACGCCGTCGACGATGTTGACGATCGATCGAGGACCACCTTTGCGAGAAAAACGAGAGACGGTCGGTGTGATTTCACGTGCTCACGGAGAAAAATTCCCGTCGGGCGAACCGATCGATCGGTGTGTCCGATTGTTGTTTTTATCGTCGAGTGACGGATACTTTTATCCGATGAAGTATCTGAAATCGAGTCGGAAGATCAGCCGCCTTTTGCGCATCCGTTGCAATTTTCATCGGGCTCGACATCGAACGTCCCACTTAATCGGATATAAATCCGTTTGTTACTTTTTAATCGGATCGTCCGATCAGACATGACCGGACGTTTCTCTCAGTGTGGATCGTTTCCGTCTTCTTTTCTTCTTTTCTATGCCGAGACAAAGCAGCGGTTGTGTCGGCGAAATCGGCGACCGCTCTCACTCAAGGAAATATATTGTCTCCGTCGAACGCGACACATCACGTTGCGTTGATATCCTGTTGAAACTCAACTATCACAGTCGTGGTGGTCAGTTATCTGTTACGAAGTGTCCCCACAACACTACGCAGCGCTGCCATCGCTTAAGTCATTTTTGATCACTTTTTTCATCGACAAGTCGCTGAAACATTTTCGCTATCGTCCAGACTGGATCGCAATAGGGACATCTTTTCTTGAGACGTCGTTGAACTTGTAAAATAAAATATGGACGTTCCGTATATACTTTTACCACCTCCTTTAATAAAACCGTGCTCCAAAACCGTACCTGTATTATTTCATTCATGGTCTCTCCTTATAGTGAACTTTCAAACTGCACTATGAAAAGAACACACTACATGTTAAGTTACCCGAAGATAAACCTGAAAAGGTAAGTCAGTGTTACCTTTTTGCTGGAACGGCTTTAGTTAGTTCTGAGGATTGGTTATTCTGAGGGAGTGACAAGTCCGAGCAACCGTCACCTCTTCGTCACCTTTTCTATCAAGAAGCAGTCGCTATTTCACCTTTCTTTTCTTTCGGTGAATCGAATGACAGCGTTGTGTATGTCTTCAAGTCCGACAGTAACGTTTAGATCAGTCATCGTGATTAAGTCTACGTCTATGATGGTGATTAGCGTGGGATAATTATTGAGTGCGCCGAAATGCGCTCGCGGATGCGTTTGCGCGCCGACGCGGTGTTAACGACGCAATCGCGGGCGGCGATTCGAAAATAGCGACGACGTAGGCCCTGCGCACCCGACGTTGTTTCGAAATTGCGGAAGTCCGGACTTAGCGGATCGCAGATAAAACGGACTGCGAGAGAGAGAGAGAGAGAGAGACCATTTTAGATCGCGATAACGACTATGATGCGCGCGGCACATCCTGCCAGAAAACAGTCGCCACATTGTTCACACACATATGCGGTTTTATTAGGGACAATTTAACGATTCGGCCTGCATCTAAATTGTCCTTTCAAACGACTCCGGCATTACGCCCGCGCACGTGCGATATCGTTATCCAACGGAACGAACGTATATCGATTCCGTAAATCGAAACGGGCGCATCGGAGAAGTTCAGGTATTTTCTCTCGTCATGGAGATTCAGATCATAATCAATAAGATACGAATGGTATCGACCGAAGGGTTAATTCGTTAGATTTGTAAATGCGTTATTATATTATTAAGGCGCGCAAGTTGAAATATCGATGATGTCGAGGACTTTAATGTTACATTTCACATATCTATTATTAATCGTTCTAAATAATGAGAGAGTCAGCATTCAAAAAATTATAAAAGACGGATCTGGCATAGGATATTTCAATCGCTTTTTATTACGTTTC